TGAAAGGAAGATCATTTGGTGACCACGGCAAAAGAACCTGCTGAGAACAAGGTAAGCACTATTTTATGTTTTATCCATTAATTGAATTTGAAATAACACAGGGCTAGCCTGTCATAAGGAAGGACTTAAAACTTAGAAATGCGATTTCGTTCCGCTTGTTTAAGACAGCGTTAAAGACCGTCCCAGTATGGCTGTAGTTTAGAAGAAAGTCCTGCCCGTCGAATCGGATTCCATAACCACCTTGTGACTTTTGTTGAATTGATGTCCTGTAGCTTTCGTGTCGTATCGGATCTTCATCTTCTCCATCGCCGAGCTAACTCGCTCTCATGCAAAATTTTTCATCATTTCAAAACGTGTCTGGTGATCCTGAATGTACTCCTCAGGCCATGAAGTCGTACCTTGAGGGTGACCAAATAACAAATCACGAGACAGACGAAGATTGCGATCGAAGAGCATCTTTTGGATGGGGAATAGCCGGTAGTCTCATGGACAGTACTGCTGTTGTGACTTCTTTAAGTTTAGCAGTTCCCGTTTATTATTTTTTAAGAGTTTGTTTTGTAATTTTGTTTGCTGTATGATTCTGGCAACCAGTTTCGAATGTTGTGATCGGGGAATTCCCGTTCTTCTAAGCAAGCAGCAGTTAAGTTAGTTACGTTACTGAAATACTGAATGTTTCTTCATTATTAAGATGTACGGATCACTTTATTTTTATACTAAACTCTACATGTAAACAATCGCATTTATCTGTATGTGTTCGTAAATTAAATAAATTGGATACAAAACCAAGTCTGATTTCGAATCAAAACAAAACTGGCGTCCGCGACAGGATAGAGTTTGTATTCCGCATTTGAAGAATTCAGAATTTGATATTATGAAAGTGTACAGGTACGAATGATTTAAATTACTGCATATAAGTATACGATATGCTGTTTAGAATGATAAAGTGATTTAAGTTTAAGAAATTATAAACACTTTAATTTCTTCAGTATAAATAGAAATTAAGAATATATTTTCAAATCATTTTAACTAACTATTTTAAGTGTACATACAAATATGGATGCTCTGAAAATAAAACGAAAGTCGTTAAGAGCTTCATTTACGTCTACGTTAAATAAGCTGAAGCAATATTTGGCGACGAAAGTAGACGCCAAGTATGGCGATAAGTTGAGCGCGTTGAACGCTCCGTTACAAGATAAATTTTTACGTTTAGATGAGATTCAGAATAACATTTCGTCATTTCTTTTAGAAAATACTGAGGCTGCTGCTGAATACGTAGCCGATTTTGAGGCGGCAGAGTATTATAGAGATAATTATCTTGAGCTTAAATCAAAGATAGAAATGCTATTAAGTAAAGATTCTGGATCCTTTTTGGAAAGTCCTGCAGAGCGTGATGTGGTAAAATTAAAATTACCTAAATTTGAATTTAAAATGTTTTCGGGTGATCCCAAAGACTTTTTAAGATTTTGGAATATTTTTTCAAAAATACATGACTTAGAGAAACTGACTGCTATAGACAAATTCCAGTATTTATACCAGTCTATGGTGCCTGATTAGAGAGCTGCTAGATTAATATCCAGTTTCCCAATAACAGCTGAAAATTATCCAAAGGCCGTCTGTTGCAAATAACTTTTATTTGTGATTATATTTCCCATTTGTATTTTACAACATGTGTGGCAATACGCTTTTTTATATTTTTCTCTTGGCAACGTTTTTTTTAGTTGTTGTCACTGTTTTACTTTACCATGTAGAATTTACTGTATTTGTGCCATTTTGTGTTTCAATATATGTTAATTTAGATGAATCTCTGCTTATTTATTTGTCTCCATTCCTAACGTTAGACTTCATCAGGTTATGGGTACCAGCATGATATAACTGTGCGGGGAAATTTATGAGCGAAGTGGAGATAAACATTACCGACAGTTCGTAAGCCTAACACGGCAGTTCTTAAGCCTTACGTGAGTCGGCAAATTAGTTCGCAAAAATGGAAGCTGCAAAGATTCAGCCGTTATGCGGAAAAAGTAATTGGCCTATTTGGAAATATAGAATTAAGTTCGTATTAAATTATCACGAAAACGCTTTAGAAGTCGTGGAAGGAAAATGAAAGAAGCCAGTGGAGCCTGATCATGCGGCCGCCGAAGAGATTCGAAAGAAGATTTAGAGATGATATGAAGGTTTTTAATAAAGCAAATAATTGCGCTATGATGGTTCTTTACGAACTCCATGACTGAAGACAACTTTACAAAAGGTAATGAGATTTGACAGCGCAAGAGACATTTGGCTGGAACTTCACAAAGTATTCGAAGATTCTTCCGATCCGATAACCAACTTTATAAGTATAAATGTTTACAGTTCTTCAAATTCAGTTGGTCAAATGATGATGAAGCTCATTTATCAAAATTGAAAAATCTATGGAATGAACTGAACAGTGGACTTGCAAATAAGGAAGAAAACAGACTGCCAGAAATGCTGTTGATTTGTAAAATATTGGATACTCTTTCTCCCACTTATCGTACTTTCAAATCGAGTTGGTTACTTCTTAGTGATGAAAAGAGAACTTTTAGATGAATTAACCACACAATTGTGCACCCATGAAAGAGAATTAAGGAAAGATCCAAATTTTTTAGAAACTTTAGATCAGGAAGCATTGATAGAAAATCCGAATTTAAGCGGAAATCATCTATTAACAAGAAAAAACAATGACAAGTGTAATTATTGCCACCAGAGAGGACATTGGGTCAGAACATGCAAGAAATGGATAGCTGATGGAAAACCGCCGAAACCCAGTCCACATATAGGGCCAAACAAGGGAAGTAAAAACAGTGTTGCTGCAAATATGACACTTCTCTTATCTGTAGATGATACAATATTTTCTGCAGAAACGAATTCTGATGATTGGTTTATTGATAATGGGGCCTCGAAGCATGTCGTCAATAACAGGCACTACTTTATAGACTTCAAAAGATTTAAGCTTCCTCATAGCATCACTGTGGCAAATGGAAAGTCATTACCAGCAATGGGAAAAGGCACCATCAAGATAATGACCATTGTAAATGGGATGAATCAAATCAAAAATCTTGAAAATGTCTGGTATGTTCCAGAAATAAGTAAAAATCTATTTTCTGTGTTAGCATCTCAAGATAGAAATCAAAACAGTGTGTTTGAATCAACATTTAAGGACTGCTATTTAAAAATAGATGGTGAAATAGTTTCTGCATGGAACAAGAAATGCCAGTGGTGGGGTCTCTTCAAAGCCATGTGATGAAGACCTTAGTTCCTGAAACTCACATTGACATCAACATGTGTGACTGAGAATAATGAATCAACTCTCCAACTTTATCATGAACGATGGGGTCACCAAGATAAAAAGGCATGTAAAGGCCATTGTAGAGAAAGAGTTGAATATTAAGATTAAGTCTGATATGAAATTATGTGAAGCTTGTGTATACGGAAAAATCCCACCGTTTAAAGTTTGGAACCAGGAAAGCGGTTACAAAAGCTGGAGAATTGTTCTCGACAGATATTTGTGGGCCATTTGATCAGTCATTTAGGAAATACCGTTACTTTGGGACAATCTTCAAAGATGCCTACACCAAAATTTCGATACTGTTTTTTCTTAAAGCACAAATCAGAAGTAAAAGATGTGCTTGAAAATTTCATAGCTCACGCTAAGAACTTAGGGCATACGGTTAAAGAAATGCTCAGTGACAATGGTGGAGAATTTGACAACCAAGCCGTTCGCAAGATCTTGAACAAGCATGGAATCTCCCAGAGGCTCACAGCTCCATATACACCAGAACAAAATGGCAGTGCTGAACGAGAGAACAGAACAGTCCTAGAAATGGCCAGAACTCTCAAATACTCGAATGAGGAAGTGGACTTTCCAGCTTTCCTATGGGCAGAGTTCGTCAGTACTTCAATTTATATATTGAATAGGACAGGCAAGTCTTCAGTTCCTAATTCAAGCCCTTATGAATTATGGATGGGAAAGAAACCCAGAATAAAACACACATGCATCATTGGATCGACTTGCTATACTCATATCCCAGTTCAGAAGAGGAGAAAGATGGACAAAAGGGCAACTAAAGGCTATCTCCTTGGGTATGATGGAGATGAAAGGTACCGCATTTACATCAAAGAAACCAGTACAGTAATCTGTTCCCGAGATGTCATATTTGAAGAGAAACCTTCCATGACTGGAAACATTATAACATTGCACCCACAACAAGTTTCTGGAAGAAATTCATCTCAAGATGATGAAGTTGAAAATAAAGTAATAGACGAAGGCCCTCAACAGGAAAAGAAGGAGGTGGAGGATATACCAGAAAAGGAGACTCGACCCAGAAGACAAATTTCACAGCGCCTAAGTGGACAAAGGATTATATCATGGAAAATTCAGAGATTTATGAAGAAAATCCTCCAGAAATAAATGGAATTACAAGTGGAATGCAGTGCAGCTGACAATCCGAGAAACAGAAATATGAAGGCTCAACACCCAAGAAAGCTTTCCAGAATGATCCTGAAACTTTAGAAGAGGCATTAACTAGTCCAGATGCAGAAAATGGAAGTTAGCCATGGAAGAAGAGTTGGAAAATTTAAAACGAAATGAAACTTGGGACATAGTGCCTAGGCCAGAGGGAAGGAAAGTTGTGAAATGTAAGTGGGTCTTCAAGAGAAAACTTAACAAAGATGGACAAGTGGAAAGATATAAAGCTCGTTTAGTTGCTCGTGGCTACACCCAAGTCGAAGGAATTGACTACAAAGAGACGTTTTCTCCTGTAATAAAAACAAAATCAATTAGAACTTTATTAGCATTCTCAGTTGAGCAAGACTGGCAGGTTCATCAACTTGATATTACTGCAGCCTAATTTAAATGGAAGACTGAGTGAGACAATTTTCATGGAACAGCCACCCGATTGAGTCTGCATGAGAAAACACACAGAGAAGTTTGCTTGCTAAAGAGAAGCCTTTATGGACTTCATCAGTCTGGGAGAGAATGGAATATGTGCCTCGATAAATTTCTGAAATCAATGAGCCTAACAAGATCCAGAGCAGATCCTTGTGTTTACTTCAATAAAGAAAAGGAGTTAATCATAGGTGTGTATGTGGATGATCTTCTTGTAATGTCCAGCAAAGATTTCATCATTCAGGAATTTAAGGACAATATTGCAGCCACATTTAAAATCAAGGACTTGGGAGAAATACATCATCACCTTCTTTCAATTAGCATAAGCAGAAAGGAAGATGGCTGTGTGACTCTTGACCAAAGTGTCTATGCTAGTGAGCTCTTGGAAACAACTAATATGCAAGATGCTAAAGGAGCATCAACACCATTAGATCTAGGTATGAAATATACAACAGCCACTAAGGATAACATGTTGAATGCTGAAGGAGCATTAAAATATAGGCAGGCTGTTGGAGGGCTCTTGTACTTGTACCTAGCAGGAGGAACAAGGCCAGATTTAGCTTTTTGCTACTACTTACATGAGCCAATTCAATAATTGCCCAAGCAAGGAACATTGGGCTGGTGTACAACATATCCTTCGTTACCTAAAACAGACCAAGGAATTAAAGCTGACTTTCCAAAAGACAGGAAAGAATTTGGAAGTGTTTTGTGATTCTGATTGGGCTGGTGATAAGATTGACAGACGATCATTTAGTGGCTATGTGGTGCTACTAGCAGGTGGAGCTGTCTCATGGAGCAGTAAGAAACAACAGACGACTGCATTGTCAACAGTTGAAGCTGAGTACCTCTCAATGTGCCACGCAGCCAAGGAAGTACTGTGGTTCCAAATTTTTTTAAAGAAATTGTGGGAGAACATTTTTTAAACTTTCCACAAAGCATATTTGTTGATAATCAGGGTGCCATTTCTTTAGCCAAAAACCATGTCACTTCAGAGCGTAACAAACATATTGAACTCAGGCATTTTTTTTGAGAGAAAAGGTTGAAGAGAAGTTGTTAAACTTTACGTATGTGCCTTCCAGTTCAAATGCAGCAGACATGTTCACAAAGAGTGTGCAAAAGAAAGCCTTGTTCAATCAAAGGTTCTGTGTAGGACTGAGGGAAATTTAATCAAGGGGGAGTGTTGCAAATAACTTTTATTTGTGATTATATTTCCCATTTGTATTTTACAACATGTGTGGCAACACGCTTTTTATATTTTTCTCTTGGCAACGTTTTTTTTAGTTGTTGTCACTGTTTTACTTTACCATGTAGAATTTACTGTACTTGTGCCATTTTGTGTTTCAATATATGTTAATTTAGATGAATCTCTGCTTATTTATTTGTCTCCATTCCTAACGTTAGACTTCATCACCGTCGAACAGCTGAAATTAAGATTTGTCCTCGAGGATCTCCTAGTGCAAATATATGTCCGCGATCTCCTTTCACTGGTTCTGAAAAATCGATGTTGACGGCTAGGAAGAATGCCCCTTGTTAAGTCATTAAGACTATTTAACTGTAAGATTACGTCATTTTTTCTCTTCTTGGGGCCTTGCATGGCGCAGATGTTCATTACAGCAACCCTGTAAAAAGCTTACTCAGTTTTTTTTTTATCTGTTGTTGTTAGTAGTAAGTCTCGCTTGAAAGATGGCACGCATTTGATTAAAGTTGTCGAATAAAATATTTAGTACAGTCCACTTCTAGTTAATTTGAAATTGTTGTATAACAACGCACGCATCGCATGAACACCCCTAATTTAGCCACCCTCTACGATATGCTAGAGACAAAATTAAGAGCATTGGAAAGTTTAGAGCGTACAAAAAAAATTTGCTGATTTTTTAGAGTCTTTGGTAGAGTTATGTTTGCCAGAAAATGTTCTGCGAGCGTGGGAAAGGAGTAGAATTTCAGAAAATATTGACGAAACAGAAGCTACAAGTCAGAGATCTCTGGAAAAACTGATGTGCTGATGCGACATGAAGTCGAATCAGAAGAGATGATAAATTTGGCTCGATCAGGTTTCGGACCTCAAGTTAAGGTTAAAAGGGAAGTTTACCAGTTGTCTGTCGTGCGAACAGAAATGCGTGGATGACCTCTGAACTTTTTAAAGAATAGCTGAAGGATTGGGACAGAGAGCTACAACGCCAGTCGAGAAAAGTGCTGCTTCTTCTTGACAATTGTGCAGCACATCCTCATTTAGATGCTTGATGAACGCCTGGAATTTCTACCTCCTAGGACCACAGCTTGGGTCCCCAATGGACATGGCATCAAAAAATTTGAGACCCTTTTCGTGCAAGGTTGGTTAATTACATTCTTTGAAGCAATGAAGAAACTTTGCTGACTCATCGTCAAAAGCCAGGGAAGTCAGTGCAAGGCCAACATATACAAAATACATATTCCCAACATATTACAGCATTCTTAATTTGTGGCCAGCTGCTGGAAATGAGCAGTGAGACAATTCAGAAACTGTTTTTCTTACTGTGGCTTTGCACTTGGGTTTTGGAGAGGATGTGGACATGCTCATTGAAAGTGAAATAATGATTTACATGTGAAACTTCAGGTACAATGCGAAGAATTTTTATCCATTGACACGAGCTTCAATGCTACGAT